GGGTAGGAAGAGTTAGTGTAGCAGGGTTGAATAAAGCTCAATGTTATGAAGGTGGAAAAGTTTTTCAATACTTGGATATCAAACCCATTTTTGGAATTTATTTTAAGAGACTATCAAGCATTTAGAAATATCAACATTTTCTTTTCGAAGCATCTAATCTTGGTACTATGAAAGTTCAAGAAGTTGCTAATGGACCTTTTACTGAATTCAATTTATTGAAAACCAAGAAAGCAGATATCTTTGAAGAAATTAAAGCTTTATCTATTTTAGTGTTAACACCACCTCCTTTGGATTATAAAAGGCAAGAATATCTACCTTTATAACAATAACAATTGGTCCAATGTGATATTTTAGGATGCTACGGGAATCATTTCAACAAACATTTTCTCACTAATTCACAACATTGATTTGCTTAGTAAAAAAAATATGTATTTGTATTACCTGTTTATTTGATTATTTTCATGGACCATCAAGTGAGTTGATACTTTTTTAGGGGTGTGTACTAAAATAATATATTATGGTAGTAAATATAATAATAAAAAGTAAAAAAAATAAAAAGAAATAATTTACAATGTCAAACAAGAACAATGAGGATTAAATAATTTAGAAAGAATAGAAGATTGAGAAGAAAGATTTTATTGACCAAACTGAACAATTGCATCAAATTGAAAAGATTTAGAAAAAAGAATTGGAGCAAAAGATAGAAAGAAGCATTGGAGAAAAAAGATGAAAGCAAACAAATCTCTTTATTAAAAGAAACTCATCAAAAAGAGATTAGAGAGCTGAATGATAAAATCAAATAAGGATATTTTATCTATGGTTTTGCACTGAAAAGCAGTGTTAATTCACAGAAAAAGATTAAAGAACTAGAAAAGGGATCGGAAGAGAAAGAATTATTGGATGATTATTTGAAAACTAGAGTTGAGGAAGAAGAAAAAGTTGAATGTCACCTAAATGCCTCAGAAGTAGCTGAAGGATGAAGTAAAAAAAAATTGGCTGAAAACTTAGAGCAGTTAGAGTCAGGAAATACAAGGTATTCTCTTGACCTTACAAGGTAATGAAAATGAATTGCAAGCTAATCAAAAAGAGATGAACAAACAAGCCCAAGAAATTCAACAATTAAAACAAGAATTATATTTAGCCAATAATCCTTTGCCAGTATTACCAAGGAAAAAAAGAAAATTGCAAAAAATCACAAAAAAGATAACTTGCCTAAGAGGAAATAATTGAAGTAAATCCCAAGGAACCCAGACCAACTCATACTAATTCTTTTTTATCGAATCTATTTTTAACTTTAAAAGACAGTATTCTTGTTATATTATTCCAAGTTAAGTATCAAATTATTTCTCTACTGATATCCTCTTCTTTCTGGTTTTTGTGGCCCTGTGTTTAATGTTCTTTTATTTTCTTTCTTGGTAAATTTCACAAGTAATCTTTTCTTTGCCTAAACATTTTTGCAAAAGATTTGTATCTACTAATTTAAAAATATAAGGAGCAATTTTTTCATCTTGTTCCTTTTTCAAAATACTTCTAATGGTGCTGTAATTCTTTGGTTCCATGGTAGATCGGATGTAAATGAGTTTCATATTAACTATTTTTATATAGGAGTATTTCTATATATCACTTAAGAAACTGATAATTATAATCACATTACAAATGACTAAATTTTGATCCCTGAAATCTTTGATAATACCAATGTTCACTTTGTCTGGTTTTGTTGCAGCATGCCCCATATAAGAATGGAGATAGAAGTTTGATTTGATTGGTTACGAATGGAACAATGAACCTTCTGATATTGATTATACCCAGACTTGTATAATCCTGGTATATAGGAAAAACCTTCCATTACATATATATTAATATTAATATGGGAAAATTATGTCCCGTTAATATTAACTTTTTAGTCCGGATAATCAGATAACGTGCAAAAATTTTGTCTCGTGAAAATAAGTTCATTAATATTAGTGTATTAGTAGGAAGAGTGAAAAGAAGTCACTAATGTGGATTTTTTGATATAATATCAGGATAAAAAAATAAAAAATGAATAACGTAAAAATTAAAAGTTTAACAATTAACCATTATATGGCCATCAAATAATATAACACTCTCCTTTTCTTCCGCCGCTTTCTTTGACAAATGCCACAATAAACGGGTTATCGTAACAAATATTTTCCTGTTCCTTCTCATGTTTCCCTTTTAAAAACAAATCGTGAAGTTAATACGCCTAATTTCCAATAATCATTTGTAAAAAATACCAAGTAAAAAAAATTTTTAATTTTTTGTTTCTATAGCATATGTTTTCCACAATGAATAAATATGTAAAATCGAAAGATATATTATCTTGTTATTCTTTCTACTCCCAACTCATCTCTCAACTCAACCAGTTGATGGTTGATGCTAACACATTTGAAATACTCTGTATTTTTATATTAGAATGCTTCTAAATTTACATACGAACAAGTCTAATACAGCAATACCGCCGCTTACCTTGTGAATGAACTTCTCATTACATGAAAGAGAAATTTACAATGTATTTATACATGTTAAAGGTTCTATCATCTAGTTATCCAACTTCATTGAAATCCTAATTTATACTAATTAATATATTCTTTAAATATCATTTGAACCTTCCATGTAGAATTATTTTCAAGTAATTTCTAGTCAATGTGAGTCATGTAAAATTCTTTCATTTAAATATTATTCTGAGACTTTGTAATTTGTTACACTTTAGAATGTTGGAATATTTATATCTCCAATATTTGGGTTATTTTCCGAGAGCTATTTATTTGATTGGTGCGCCTTATTAATTAGTGTAACATTTATTAAATTGTACTGGTTTATTTCTTGTTGAGTTATTCCGTGATAATCGTTTCCAAATTTTCACTTTGTGATACATGTAAATCATTTCCGATTTATATGCTCGTTTTCCGTGATCTATAACTTACTATTTTACAATATGAAAATCAAGCCTGATTAACAAATTGATTAAGGCTGAAAGCAAAACAAGAAGAAAAGGATTTTAACAATTTAGCCAGTGTTAAAGAAAAAATTAGAACTCTTTGTTTTATTCAACAAGGCTATACTGGTAAAGTAGTAATAGAGAACTTTCCTGATTTAACTCAGTTGAATTTAGGTAATAATGAATTAGAAGAGATCATTATTCACAATTGCCCTGATTTAAAATTAGTTCAAGTAGCTCACAATAAACTTACTAAGTTAAAGATAGAGAACTGTCCAAATGTTCAAGAAAACTATACTCATAATAACCAATTAACTAAGTGAGACTTTCCAGTTGAAGAATTAAAGCTAAAAACTTACAAACTATTTCTTCTAGTGAAGAAAAAGTTAGATTAGATGCTTTAGGATTAAAAGATAGAAAGCAGAGTTGATGGCGATGCCTAAACTTGGTTAGATGCTAAATATCCTCTTGACAAAAGAAATGAAGTGGAAAAACTAGATCTTAGCAGTTTAGGATTACAAGGAGAATTAAACTTGGAAGGATTTACTAATTTAAAGAGTTTAGATTGTAGTGATAATGAACTAACCAATTTGGATAAGTGTGAGAAATTGGAATATTTAGATTGTTCAAATAATCAATTATGAAGTTTAGGTGTTAGTAGTAATGTTGTATGTGAAATTGAAATATTATGGAGTGGGGTGAAATTCTGATTGGCTAATTTGAATTTCATGCATGTAAATATGAATTTCACATATGTGAATTGCAAATTCACATAATTTCATTTTCATGTACAACAGTAATAAAGAATTGCAGGAAGTGCATAATAATCATAATGAAATATGAGAAACAGATTTCACTGGTCTAAGTAATTTACATACTTTAATGATAACATCTAATGAACTAGAAGAAGTTGATTTAAGTGACTTAACTAGTTTAAAAAGTTTAAATTGTGGTTTGAATAATATAGATGCTTTAGATTTAAGTAATAACTTAGAAATAGAAATTGTAATGATATTGAAGTTAAAGAGTTAAAAAATTTAAAGTATTTATATTGTTATATATAAAAACAGGTTAGAAGAATTCGACTGCCACAACTCAAAAAGTTTGAAAGAATTGTTTGTTTGTCATTAACAAGAAGTATCACTTTGTAACCTAAATGTTAAGGGTTGTGAAAATTTGGTAACACTAGATTATGCTGAGAACAGTTTAACAGAATTAGATATTAGCAACTTAAAAAACTTAGAGTTTGTTTCTTGTAAAGAAAATTTAATTAATAAAATTAATGCTAGTAATTTGAAATTTAGAATTTCTTGATTCTTCCAATCATCATTACTTATTTATTCCTCCTCTAATAGACAAGTCTTAAAACTTGAAGGGGTGGATAAATTAGAAAAACTATTTTTATGTCGAGCATGTCCTGACTGACAATCACTGAAAAATCTTCAAAGTGTTGGAATAGATAAAAAAGAAGTTCCAGAGTTTGAACAATTCTTACAAGAAAAAAGAGATAAACCAATCAAAGAAATCTTGGCTAATCCCAATAATTACTCTCTTGAAGATATTCTCAAATTAGAAGAGAAAGAGTTAAAAGAAAAGTTAGTTGAACTAGCAACTAAAAAACATGAAGAAATAAGATTACAAAAAGAAAGGGAGTTCATGGATAAATTAAGAAAGAGGTTTAATATAGATGAGGAAGGGAAATCTAACCAAAAAAAAAAAACAAGAAAGAAGAAAAGGCTCCACCCTTAGAAAAAGATAGTGATTCTCCAAGTGAAGTAACTCCTCTTCCTACTCCTCAGGAATCACCAACACCAAAGGATAATAATAAAGATAAAAATGTTTATGAGTTTAATGAAGAAGAGCAAAAGGTCTTTTCTCTTTCTGATTTAGAACAACTAGAACAGTTTTTTATTCAACATGATATAAAAAATGTTTACTCTTGATAGTAATAATAAACTAGTAGTTGAATATATTTCCTTATTCAAATCAATTTCCTTATTCAAATTAATTTTTTTATTCGGATTAATTTCCTTATTCAAATCAATTTTCTTATTTGAATTATTCGTTTTATTCAGATTATAATTTATTCAAATAAACTTTCAATGTAATTCGAATACTCAAATTCATAACAAATAAAGTGAATAATTCAAATAAACCTTATTTGAATAGAAACCCTACTTCCCTATAATAATAATAAATATTGCAAGTGTGCGATCTGAATTATTGGAGTCACCAAATATGGCAAACTAAATGAAAATCACTACATACAACCATACAAGCTTGATTAGGGCTTCTATTTGAATAAGGGCTTATTTGAATTATTTGTTTTACTCATTATTATTATGAATTTGAGTATTCGAATTGCATTGAATAAAATAAATAATGAATAATTTGATAATTTGATAATTTGATAATTCAAATAAACAAATAAAACAAATAATTCAATTGATAGTTTAAAATAAACCAAATAAACGAATAATAATTCGAGTAAAACGAATAATTAGAATATTTCAAACAAAAAGAATAAACGAATAGTTTGAATAAAAATGAATAAACAAATAGTTCGAATAAATGAATGACAACAATTCAAACAATAAAATGAATAAATGAATAATTCAAGCAAAACAAATAGTTTGAATAAATGAATGATAACAATTCAAATGATAAACAAATGATAATAATTTGAAAAATAAACGAATGATAACTATTCGAATAATAAACAAATGATACAATTTGATTGATAAACGAATGATGATAACAATTTGAATAATAAATGAATGATACAATTTGAACAATAAATGAATGATCTCAATTCGAATGATAAATGAATGATGTCAATTTGAATAATAACAATAAATGAATGATACAATTCAAATGATGATAACAATTCAAATAATACCGTAAAGTCTGGAAAGATAGCACCCCTCGAAAGATAGCACCCCCTACTTTAAAACAATTGAGTGTCAATATAAAAAAAATGTTACACATGTAAAAAGGGGATGCTATCTTTCCAGACTTTACAGTAAACGAATGATAATAACAATTCAAATAATAAACGAATGATACAATTCAAATAATAAAAGAATGATACAATTCAAATAATAAACAAATGATAACAATTCAAACAAAATGAATGATTTGAATAATTTGAACAAAAATTTTATTACGAATAGAAACTCAACTCTATTGCAGAGTCACTACTAAACCTGGCACAATAATGTTCAAACTAAACTAAAATATACAACTACACTACTTGAGGCGTCCCTACAAGCAATATAGTAAAACTAATAAAAGGGTCCCTAACTAATAATTAAATGTTGGCCAAACCATTAATCATCAGAAAGGGTTATGAATCAATCAATCATGCCAGATTTATTAATTAATAAAAGTATTATTTTTATTACCAAAGTGTTATTATTGAAAGATCAATTATTTTTTAATTTTTTTTTCACTGAAGGAGATTTCAAGCATATTTATATGACTTTTTACATGATTTTGTCCAATAAAATAAAATAAAATAAAATAGAATGATAAATGGACAATTAGGTGTCAAAAATATGTCATTGATGATGTCATGATTAATGATACCTGATGAAATTTTTTTGTTATAATTGATTAAAAATAAAATTTATATTCATTGAAATGTCAGATGGTAGTCAGCTTCAATTTGATAATAATTTGTTTTCCTTGAAAATATTATTAAACAGAAAAATATGGCAATGTGACTCTGGACACATTTGTGTTGCACCAATTCTATTCAATTCATTAATGGCATAGAAGACTTTGATGAACCTTTCTTTGGAATCAATACAGCTTTAAAGGACAGGTTTCTGGATTATTTTTGCAGGAAAATCAAATAATTAGCCAAATAAATCTGTTTTTGACTAATTAGTTGAAGAATTTCCTTTATTTATCAGATCAACTCACTTATTTCACTTGTGCTATTGATTCAGAATTAAAAGAGCACAACAATCATGATTGTTATATTTGTAGTCCTACTCTAAACCTAGAAACAACATCATCAAATCCATCATCTTTAAATTACCCAATCTCAAAAGATCAAGAATTGTGGTGAGAAGTCCCATTCAAGAGGGTAACAATTTGAACAAGATAAGTCTTGACGAATGTGTGATATATCACTTATGTACTGATATCTCTGATGAATCTGGTCGTGTTCTCTTGGTCAAAGTTCATTCACCTAATCCTTGTAAGGATCTTCTTTGTATAGTAGATCATCTGGTATATCTTCAAATAAAACTTCTTCCAGGAAAGTAATTTCTTTTTTTAACTAATTTTTTACTGCTTCCTTCTACTGGTCCTTGTTTTTAAAAGATAAACTCAATCCCTTCTTCTTCAGTTAATCCCTTAAGGTTGCAACTTCTTTTCAAATGTCCCTTTGTTCCACACGAATAGCAAGTTTTATTTTGATGTGGGTTTTTAGTTTGTTCTTCCTGTTGATAATGTAGTTTGAATAATTGATTAGGATTTTCAGCAAAATATGTATATACCAAGTTGATTAATTGAATGTCCTTGATATTCCCCGTGAGAATTTGGTGATAGACTTGTACGAAAATTTCTGATTTAATATGTTCTGAATTAAATTCTTTTAATTGCATTTACAATTTCAAAACCCCCCCCCCCCGAATTAACCTCATAGGGTATAAAGTAAAAAAGTAGAAATAAAATAAAGAAGTGAATAAGAAATATGAAAATGAGATAAAGGAAATATAAGAAATATAAGAAAGAAATAATAATAAAAATATCCGTAGATTATAATTTTGGTTTCCGTTTTGTTTTGTTTTTATTGAATCACTTCTATAATTCCACACAACTCGCACCAAGTTGTCACCAATTATTATTTGGGAGAGCATGTTAACAATATAAATTTATTATTATGTGTATCAGAATGAATTGGATATTACTAACGAATCAGCTTTATTACCAAATAATTTTGGTTTAGTGATTTAAGAAAACGTTTTATTTAGTTGAAACTAACTTATTTAACTTATTTCACAAATTCACGCCGCACGATTTATTGGCAAAATAATTATTTAAGGGAAATTTTTTTTTTAAAATACAAAACCCTAATACCAATAATAAATAATGGGAATTGTTATTCGCATCCCACGTGACTAAGTGTAGTAATGTGACCAATGATGAATGGCTTAGCCAAATAAATCGCATGATTTTATTAGTTCGTCTTTTGCCTTAGTCACGTGGAACGAATAACAATTTCCTAAATAATAGTTATTAATAATTAATGATATTAATATTTAGGATATATTAATATATTTAAAGAATCTTCAATGACCACATCAGCAACAAGTTCAGAAATGGAACTGGAAGGAGAGCAAAGAACAAGAAATTTGATGCCGAATTTAATAAATATTAATATTCAAATATCCAAAAAAGAATCAAGAATATTAAGAATATTCGAAATGTGTCAGATGACTTTTGTTAATATGGAATTTCGAATATTCTTCAAACAAAATGAGGAGAGAGGTAAAGTATCGTTTCTATGATTAAGCACATGCAATTCTTAGTTTTTTGTTTTTTATTGTATGTAAATCCGTTCGCCAAAAAGGGATAATGATAATTATATTCGTGTGAATAATTTTAATGTTTATGGTTACTCAACCAGGATAAATAAAATTCATATATATTTCCAAAATCACTTATTTTGATTAGAATCCTGAATTTCATATATACAAAACCGGAAAGTGTACATGTAATGATTAACCTTTTTCACAATGAATGAATGGTTCTTTTTGGAATAAACAATAATTCACTGATTTCGGAGTTATCGTATCCATATTAATATACTAATATACTTAATGATTGGTCAAATTACAAATTCATTTTCTATAAATATCAATAAAATAAGTTCAACGAGAGAAACTTTATCCTATTATTCGATATGAACAAAGGATCTCTATTTAACCAAAGAAAGCAAATGAAATCAAGTTTCTTGAAGGCTACCTTGGGGAAAATCGTTTTATTTTCATTCCTTCCAACTGTGACTGCATCTTTTGTCAACGAAAATTATAGATCTGAAGGGGAAGTGTATGATGCAATCCTTATCACATTTTTTCCAGTTTTTTTTGTCATTCTGTTCAATGTTTCAGGGAAAACTGGACGCATCAAAAATGTGCTGTTGCCATTATTGGATGACATATTATACAACATAGTCACTTGGGCGATTCCGTTGATAGTTTCTTTTGCCTATGATGATTTTCCGAATATAAAGATGTTTTCAATTGTAAACATGGGTTTACATGTAATTTGCGCAGCAGGAGCGATAATTAAGTGTAAAAAAGTTCGTGATTCCGAAACTGATTTTTTTAATTTTATCGGTTTATTCTTGATATTTTTCCCAGCCATAATCATTCCAACATTCTGGGTTGTTGTTATTAAAACTAGACGCCTTTTCGATCCAATTAGCATAGTATTCCTTGCATTATTTGGGATATTGTTGGTTACGCCAATCATTTATTTTATACTATCTTGTCTTAGCGATTGTTTAAAGCAGCGTAATATTTTCGGTAGATTTTTTCTTCCTGGATGGTTTTATCTCCCAAATATTCTGCAAACATTATTTGTTGTGTTAAAATGGCCAATTGATTTTTACTTTGTCAAAGCATGCGTGTTTATACTGGTTCTCTCTTTAACAAGAAATGTGTCCTTCTTTACAGAGGAGAAACCAGCACCTGATGACTTTCTGGCTACTTCGACAACAATCACTCAATGTAACCTGCGCAA